GGAACTCTCAAGCGGGGCAGTCAGCGAGCGGTACATTCGCCAAGTACAGGTACATCCGTTGATGTGTCGGTTAATGCACCCTGGTACACATAAATGAGTTTATTTGAGCAAGAAAGTATAACATCGTCCCTTCGCCCTCAAAAAGCAGTCCTTGAACATGTAATTTGACAGATTAGTGGCAGCTGGCTTCCCCGGATCGTTTCAGTGATTATCTGTCTCTTGATCAATACGCCTCCCGTGGCCCGACTCTCTTCCTCTTTCACAGACCATTTCTTCATTCTTTCACCACACTCAACACGATATACTGGAAATTCTGCGAATTTATCAGCCTTGTGCTTTATTCTCTATCGATACAACATCCAGAAATCGCTTACTAGACCCAGAGCCGTCGTGCATCACAAAGCATCGATCTATCCACAATCCGCAAGCAGCAGGGCTGTTCGCGAACCGTCTTTCTGCTACTACGACTACTATCAACATGAACTTTCCAAGGCACGACATGCCAGGCATGGATATGGGCGACGACTCATCCGGCTCCTCGTCGTCCTCGCACGGGTCAAGCATGATGACCATGGTCTTCCAAACCGAAACTCGCACGCCACTCTACGCCAACTCGTGGACACCAAATAATGCAGGTTCCTATGCAGGAACATGTATTTTCCTGGCCGTGCTTGCTATTATTGCGCGGGCCCTTGTCGCATTCAAAGCTGTCCAGGAAGCTCGCTGGCTTGATCGTGAAGCTGCACGCCGTTACGTGGCTGTCAATGGCAAGATCCCCTTGTCGGAGCAGATAGCTTCTAGCCCCGACGCGCGCCGCATGACCCTTTCGGAGAATGGTCTTGAAGAAACCGTCGTCGTTGTGGAAAGGAAACGAGCAGCGATGAGACCGTGGAGGTTCAGTGTTGACCCGGTTCGGGCATGTCTTGATACCATGATTGTCGGAATCGGATATCTCCTGTATGTCATGCGCATGGCCCCGAGAGCTTGATTATGACTGTACTATATGCTAATCGTGCCTTACAGCATGTTGGCCGTTATGACGATGAATGTCGGCTACTTCCTCTCCGTCCTGGCTGGTGTCTTTGTTGGCAGCCTAGCCGTCGGTCGATACATACCAACAGTTGAGCATTAGAGACATAATCAGAGCTTTGGTAGCAAATGATATTGGATAAGGCCGGGGCACCACAAGGTGGTAATTCTCGCAATGGAATGGGCGGCGTTCAGCTTTTCGATCAAAACCAGCATGACACGAGCACGCGACCAAGTTTATATGACAGCATTTAATAAAGGTCACCGGGTGTTCCCGTCTCTCGTTTCTATTGATGTTCTTCTCTATGCTTTGAGTTGCCTGTGTTAGTGCTTCATTTATCGTTTGTGTGAAAAGTCGCATGTCACTTTTGTACCGGTACGTCAGCGGGGTTTAAAAGCCGAAAACCTTCTCAAATCTGCTCACCGTCAACAAACACGACCATGACAAAGCGGTACTAGCGGTACTGGAAGTACATGCGACAGAAACACCCGAACATAGCCTCCGGGGCGCAAGAAAACTTGTAACACAAGGTAAATCAAGGTGCCAAAAATATACACTCCGAAGTCTACTAAACCTACACCAAGTTTACCTAAGACTTTTTATCACCTAGGATAGAGGTTCTGAGTTTTGTTACCTCTCTGTGCATACATACCTACCTTATTCATAGGAAGAGAAGACTCTCGTACGTACACCGGAGTTTCACGAGGGACACAACATTACGATTGATGTCCTAGTGGTCCGAGAAATGCAAATGGGCATGTCATACGCAACCTCAGGAACTGCGCGACTTGCAGTATCGCTGGCCGTCCAGATTTACCGAGAGGCAAGCATCTTAATTGCCCCCCCCCGCCCGGGGAGCAATCAAATGTCAGGCCATGGGGGAAGCTGCTAAATAAATTTATTAAAGAGAGTCAAGAAATCCCTGAGTCTAGATTGACTTGCCTTATACTTTTTGCCTCCCCGAGATGCCAAAGATGCAGAAGAACTTTAACGCAGCTAAGTTGTCAAGGTCAGACGTGGATCCGTCCTCATTATTACTATGTACGCTGTCCAGAGACGAGACATGAAGTTGTTGCTCAAAGATACAACGGCCAAAGGACTCCTATCTGGCTTGGGTAGGGTGAGGGCCGTCGACGGATCACTCTCCAATTTCGAGGCTGTCATCATTGTGGCTATCGCTCGGACGGGCTGGCGAGGATTTAAGGATTTATTGACGATCCCCGTCGAGTAGCCGACTGTGCTGGATTCCCTATGATCCTCCAAGGCAGAGAAGGATATTGTCAAGAGAACTCTCATTTCGGCAACGCTCCAGCCTCACAAGGCGCTTGTTGAGGTGTATGATGGCTCACAACGAAGCTTGTTGCCTGACAGGAGGAGGCAAGAAAGCGGATCTCTTTTCTAAGTGATAGAAAGGTTTTAGGTAGGTTTACTATATCTCAGTATCTTGGTATATTTTAGTAAGCTATTAGGCCAGTTTATCTTGCCATGCTGATTTAAAGTCAAGAGTTTTCTTGCTCTTGGAGGCTCCAACCACGGCTAACTACTCATCACCAGGGGCTTCACTACCTCTATCGTCGTCTTGCTAAGCGCTAGAATGTAGAAACCTTACAGCTCGTTTATACTTGTTCTTATCTCACTCTTGATACTGGCAGGAGGCTTTCGTGCCGCGTGCTCCTGGCCACCGATGGCAACTTGCCTCACGCGGAGTCCCGAAGAGTGAGGATAAGCAAAGGCATTGCAGCTAACTTCATTGTCTGCAACAATCTGACCTTCTGCATATAGTAAAATGGCTTTTGCTTCGGATCATGGGCAATAGCGCGTTGCATGCGTTTCGTTGCAAGTTTGGGGTGAGAGTTGGTAATGTTGCCCCTCGATACCGCTGTCTATAGACAATACTTACATAAGTATACTCAGATCATATTCTCTTACGGTGACACCCGAGTCTGGATGTATGTATCGACCTGGAACTATCTTATATTGCCTCCAAACATATCCAGACAAGGTCATCGTTTCAAGGACCGTATATGGTATGATATGCAGATTATGTTTCTCAGGGAACTGGCTACTTAAGGAATAGAAGTCAGCAATATATACTAAATGGCATGCAGTTGTATTGTATTTCTATGTTCTGTAATACACTGTGGTCCTCGTTCCGTCACTTTCCACTCTTATCTACAGCCTGATGTAAAAGCTTGAGCTCCCCTGGCTTCAAACATTGACAATACCCGGCCTATCAATGATTGAAGAACACTGGTATTTTGTCGAGTCCGTGTAGGAAGTGGCCTAGCTATCATGTTTGCGAAGTGTGAGTGTTTATACAGCTGTATCAAGGCTGGCTGTAGCTAGCATGCGTGGGAATGCAAGGTTACGTTGATCTTTCTAACGTTGGACTGCCTGTACACCTCCCACCCGTTACCGAAATTATATTATCCGAGCAAACTATACCATGACTATACATTACAGTGAAGTGCCGATGGATGTAGGGTCACAGACTTCCTGTAGAGTTATTCGGCTCCGTGACAGGGGAACAGAAAGCTCACTGACCACAAGAAATGCCAGCAACCTCAGCGCGGGCCCGTCTTAACACAGTACTGATCTGCTGTCTGCCTCAAGACCTCATTCCCAACTTTCACTCGCTTACACCTCCAACTCTGACTTGTTCTATCGACTCATCCCAACTAAGCCAAGATGATCCTTCATCCCCACCCTCACCACCAAAGTGGAAAAGGCCGACCCCAAACCGCTTCTGTCGTAGGTACTCTTTTCCTTCATGCAACGTCATTTCATCTTGTCAATCCACGCGCACACGGTGACAGAAGAAAAGAAATTATAACAAAAATAGTAAAGTTGCCCCTCCCCATGGACGCAGCCGCACACGATCTTACCGGCTAGAGAACCTCCCAATCATATGCCACCAACCCTCCTAATGCGGTAAGAGATCCATTACAATAACATTTACACCCAACAAGCTTGAACCTTCCTCAACCCTTTCAAGGTTCAGACCAAGAACCTAGAGTTAAGCAAAAAAGAACGATTCGCCGAATTTGAAGTTAGGTTTCTTTTACCTTCCGTAGAATCGAATCTGCACCAGAAAAGGTGAAGCATATTTCGACAAGCCGTACTTGAAAATCTGGGGTAGAGTAGCTTTTCAACGGCGGAATGTCCATGTTGGGAAAGTCCGATTTGACTTATACATTGGGTCAAACTCCAATAACCTATTTGCAACATCTCGCCTGAGCGCAGACATGTTGGTCTCACTCGTTCAATACATGTTTACATTCGACATTCAATGCGAAAAGAGGAACAATATGGTAAGCCCGCGTTGAAAGCATCCTTCCTTCGTCTCTTTTGGCCCATGATAGTCAAATCTGCATGAAGTACCCATTCCGTAAACATTCGTGCCTTCATCCCATCCATTCCCTACCATCCCAAACACTCTGATGTAATTCACAAGCCAAACGCGCCTCTTCGTGCTCTTCAATGACAACACCTCTTCACTCCAACATGCTTCCACCGCACGCAAATGTCCTACGATGTCAAGGCGCCAGCTTCCACGGAGCCTTTGATCACAAGGAACCATGGCAGTACTGCTCACCATGGGGGTTCTCCCAACATTGGCCGCAAACTGTTGGTCTCGAAAACGACACGTGTAGTTATTCGTGGTCGCGAGGGCGGGATTCACAGCCCGTAAACCCACTGCTCCCAGATGCGATTATTATATTTCCACCCCAAGGCTCGTCAGACGTCGCTGTGGCCTGAAAGCCTTGATGTAATTTCAAGAAATTAAAAAAACAAAAATCAAAGAGAAATGCAGGTGGCAAATCAACACCAACCAACGCCTTTTCACCGGGACCTCACAAGACAGCTCTGGTGTCAAGGAGGGGCGTGCAAGGTCGAGAGGCGGCGTCTCGAGAAAGCATTGAGCGCCGGGTATCATTGACCGAAGACCGATCTTTGGAGTCGGACGTCATTATGACTGGTGATGGCTGTTAGCAGGCATACCTGGTTGAGGAGGTATGCCAGAGCCATAAGCCTGATTCCGTTGTACGTAGCTCTGATAAGCCAGAGCCTGCTGAGGATCCATGGGCATGTTAGGCATGTAGTTATTAGACATGTGAGGGTTTTGAGGCATGCCAGGTCGATTGCCCTGAGGAGGGAGGTGCTGGTTAGGTGGTTCTTCTGGAGACTCGACTTGGTCGCCGCCATCGACGCCATTCTCATTGCCTGGAGTGGGCTCAGGAGCATTGAGACAAGCCTGGTCATGATCAGTCCATAGTCTATAAAGGGACATATTCTGCCATGTCAGGCAAACAAATAGTTACTTACCTGGATCAAATTCTTGCCCTCAGACTTGGTAACGAGGGGCTGCAGCTTGGGTGTGGTGAAGGTGTAAACGAGACCGGTTTCTGAAACTACGAGAAGTAGAACCTGGGTGCCTGTGAGGACGGAGAGTTCGTAGGCCTGATGAATGAATGTAAATTAGCTTTCCGTGCAACAGGTTAATTTTTTGCGCCAGGTTTTGGCGTAGAAGAGCAAACGCGGGACCTTGTTTTGACGCGACGGGGATCTTAACAGCAACCAAGATGCGTCAAAGAGATCAATGGATGCTGAATTTTGGTGTAGTGGAAACATCGAGGTTTGCGCGTCCAAATTGCACGCGCTTTCAACCTTGAGGTCAAGCATCATGACTGCTATGTGTTGTTGGGATCGTAGAGAGGTTGAACCATACCTTCTTCATGATTCCAGCCTTGCGCTTGGAGAACGTAATGTGTCGGCGAGATTTGTCGCTGATGAACTTGATCTCAATCTTGCGACGCTCGCGACTGCCCTTCTCGTCGTCATCGTCGTCGTCGTCGCCAGCTGAAGGACGCTGGCGCTTGATGCCGCGAGACTCAGTGGCGTTGCCATTGCCAACGTTCTGTGAGTCGTCGAGCTCAGTGGGAGAGGTCTGGTCGTGCTGGTCTGTGATGTCGGCCATGGTGTCTGCGAGTCGATATTCGTCTCAAATTGGTTTGGATTCGATTATCTCAAAAGAGGAAGAGCTCTTGTTTGTATTACCACGAACGAACCGCGACAGGAAGAACAAAAAAAGGTGGTGGAGATACTGCTTTGAGCGTGGTGCCGATGGATCTATACTGTATCTGGAGTGGGAGCGGAGAGAAATGGAGGGAGCTGCGGTGCTCTGCGTTTAATTGTCGCAGAAACCTGGTTGGGCACGCTCTTGCTTGTTTGCTGCTTCGAGTCTGGTCTGGGTGTGTCTGGGTTTGCGTCGGGGGGGCCTTTCCTTTTTCTGGGTGCGGACTGTGAGAGCGTGGGTGGCGCGGACGGGAAAGAGGCGAGGCCAGGCGAGGCAAGAGCAAGTGCGCGTGTTGGAAAGCCCAGTGCAAGAGTGCAGGGGATGAAGGAGAGATGGCAGGGTTGAACTATTGCTCTAAGCAGACAAGACGAGGGAATTTACCTTAAGCAAAAGAGACATTGGTTCTTATTGGTAGAGATAATTGCGGCCGCTGAGCACCACAGGTGCTTGACGAGACGCTTGACCGGAAGCGGAGATGACAGGGTGTGGGTCGGATTGTAGAGACAAGAGTCCAGCCAACCTAAGGCCTCACAACTGCCAGGGTTCAGGCCGATGGGCGGATGGGGGAGGGAGCATTGAGCATGGAGCGGGGGAACAACCTAAGAGCAAATGGGTCTTTTTCTCCCACTGTGCGCGTTGGCCCTGTGCGGGTAAGGGATAAATTAGATAAAACAGCAGGGTATTTCGGGTCTTCTACTAAGTATCCGATGAATAGATTGCGCCTGTCTAGGTAGGTAACCGGGGTGAGGCTTGCTGTGCTTTGCTAATTTACGAGGGGCATCCGGTATGCGACGTGCTAAGGTACCTAGCTACAGTAGAGTAGTAGCAAGCTTTTTGGCTACTGCAGCGGGACGGGCTCGCAGTCTCCATCCACGAGTGGAATGAGCACAAGATGAGCGAGGGTGGAAAGGATGCGAGGTCAAGCTTTGACCAACCACAGTCTTCGAATTAGCCTGTCTGTTGCTGAGTTAGGGAGTCAGCGATTCAAGCCGTCTGGTGGGTTGCTACGTGCAGCGCGCCATTGCTGGTGCGACTGGGATTGCATGAGTGGACTGTGGCACGCGTGTGGTGGGTATTCGTGACAGGATGTGTGAGAATCAATATGACGGGATAGGCCTTGAGCTTTTACACATGCTACAGAGCTGGTGTGTAAGAACGGATGCAATTGTGGATTTTGAGTAATTGAGAAGGGCTTGAATGATCGGAATGAAGTTGGAGTGAAAGAGTGAACGAATTCATCTGGACTGCGCAGGCGTTGAATTCGAACTCATAGATGTTCCCCGAATTGGAAATTACAGATGCGTCAATGTTGATCGCTGTAGTATCGTTCACCAAGCTTTATTGTTTCTGCAAACGATTACATGCATTTGCCCTATTTGGTTTATGGATAATTGGTTCATGACAGCCTATCGTATCTGTCCGATCAACAACGTCATCAAGATCCGACAATTGAAACGAGGATAGTGATGTTGTAGCCGTCCTGCACACGGACTATCCTGTGGACAATGAAAGATCGTCACACCTTGCCAGAAACCCTTACTGATGCGGTTGTCTTCGTCAATCGATGCATTCATCACTGATCGAATGGAGCCGTTTGCAAATCGCTGTTATCAACAGGGTTCTTCTGTTTCGATCTTCTCGCGGAGTTAAATTCACCCAAATCTCAACGTTCAAATTCGTCGTCTTGACCAAATTCACACCGGCCAACCTCCGTCTCAGGCAGAAGAGCCTTCATCAATGGCAACAAAAGACAGGGTGGGACGTCAGTGATGACGGACGGCGTGTCCTGTACCTGACGGTGCCTTGTTTCGGCTTCTCGATCGTTGCTTGATGTCTCCTCGTGAAGACTACGGAGAGGGTATGAAAGCGATCGCCGTTACAGGTTTGTGTGCAAGGCGTTATCGGCTTCCCTTTCTGGATTGCCATTTCGATGCTCAGTCACTTCGTAGAGCATGATATTCAAACCGCCCTTATTAACTAAAAGTGACAGACAGAGTTTGGCTGAATGTGGATGCAGTGGTCTACGACTCGGCCCATCAGGCAAAGCTCCACTGGGATCCCGCTCCGCCCGGTCATCTTCCAAGCGAGTGACACAGTGCTGCCCTACCCTACCGCAAGTTGGCACCTCTTACTACATGCTTCCAGTATGTAGTTCTGTACCTACCTGTCAAAGGCCCTCAGTCCTATCCTGGATATCGTGAGCCGTTGAATCAGTGGGCCTCTCTGCGCCGCACGCATGCTGCCGCGTGACGAACCATAGCGTGGCTGCAACTGTAGAAGGGCTTTCACATCTCCAACATCAGTACTCCGTTTCAAGATCAGTGCAGTATGTTTCATTGAACCTGAATTTTTTACACAAAGACCTTGACCAACATAATCTTCAGGCTTTAGTGACTACGCGAAAGAAATAAAAACAAAAAACAACAAACAGCTACGGATAGAGCAAAGTCTGATTGCTTACCCGAGCTCCAGCCTCCCTTTTACAATCAAATCTCGACTAGCGCAGATCTGTCGCACAGTGTCTCCATCTCAACATCCTGGGGATCAAACTGAACACGAAAGGCTCAAATTGTCGGTCTTCGATGGATACATGGTGCTACTCCCCTGTCGCGCGTGCATCTGTATCTGGGCCTCGACCTGTCGCATCATCCACTTTAGCAAGTGGGGCCAACTGGTGCTTGGTCAATGATGAATCGATGAGTGAGAACGAAGAAAGTGTTCTTTGTATTGGCTAATTGGGTATCCAGGAGCTTATTGCTGTAGTTAGATGTCCAGGGAACTGTCATCAAACGCAAGTTGATCTTCTCGGTATCGCTGACCAGAGTCTCAACCCAAGCTGACACATTTGTTTGACATCTCACCGGAGACCACTTTGCAATTCAACGTATTAAATGAAAATGGGTTTACGGAGTACATATATCGACTTTTCCGTACTCCGTAGTCGCTGATTAATTGCAGAGATGGAAATCGTAGGATAGGCGGGCCTAATTCCTCGGCTCTGGCTCCCATGGCTACCAGGGATGGATGGTCAAACTGATCTAGACCTGCAAATATGCCGCAACGGTGTATAGACCTGATTGGCGGGAGCTCGCTCAAACTTGTGCTTCATCGATTTCCAACTGAAAGACAAACTCACAAGTATGAACATCCATGTTGGATCTGATGTATGTAATGTATTGAGGCAGTAATGGTACCACACAGGCTGACGGGCTCGAGAACAAACACCGTCCCCGTCGTCTCGTTGTCTCGAACAGCATTAGATCTTGTGGAGCGTTTGTGTCAACCAAATTGATAGCTGGTTCACTGATCATCACCACTACTTGAAGCGGGGAACACAACAAGTACAGAGTACACGGGGATGCAATGAAGCTAAAGGACCTCTGTTTTAGATGACACAAAGACTTGAGTAAATTCAGCATAATTTGGTTGGTCTTAGAATAGATATTTTTGACACCCTAGCTTAGCATCAGAGGTTTTCTTACTCCCTAGGCGTATAGCGCGATCCCGGGGATTGGTGGACAAAACCTCGGCTCCGTGGGAGGGTGGCGGGGAGCGGCTTCATAGTTTGTTTGTTCCGCGATAAGGGGTGATTTAAGTGCGGAACAAAGTCCTATTGACATGATGAGATGCCGTAAAGTCACTTGCACCAAGTCGCGGCAAGTTTGGGCGCGACCGAAAGTTAGGCTCGGTGGTTTGAGGCCGTATCGTGAGGAATGAATATTGATAACAGTACGGAGGTTCAGTTCAAAAGTCTTTACCAACGCTAAAATTGCACTAAGTCATGGTTGTAAATTTTTTAGTATTACTATTTTAATTACTAGCTAAACTTAATACATATACCCCTTTTTATATATATCTTATATATTTTT